GGTGTCAGTCATTACAGGCTAAGGCACACGGAGCTACACGTGTATGCAGCGTAGTAACCTTACACACAGTGCATTACAGGCTAAGGCACACGGAGCTACACGTGTATGCAGCGTAGTAACCTTACACACAGTGCATTACAGGAGTACACAAACCAAACACAAAACCTTTAACTTATTGCAACAGCCAAGCAACAAATATAGACTCCATCAGCAGTTAACTAGGCAAGGCACTACAACAATCACACACATGAAAATATAAAGCAAATACATTGTTCTCTGGATATTCTCTCTACTACTGCCTATGGACCATATATGCAGGAAATTTTCTGTTTGTGCACCTTGCAGGAAAACCAATGACAGGCTGATCTGGCCCATATGGCAAATATTGGAGGACACTCTGTGGATCAAGGCAGGGATCCCTGTGGTTTGGGTTCTGCTAGTCTCAAGACTATAAGAGCATTTCTCAAAACAGTTCAGGCATATAGTACAACATTATTGTTCAGCTGCAAAAGCCTGTATCTTATCCAAAACTTGAATTAGTGGCACCAAAATGAAAAGCTCCCACATGCATAAGTAACTTCTTCAGATCAAGACTCAGTACAATAGCAAACAAAATTCACACAGCACTGTATATCATGAAGACAGCAAAATGGCAATACAAGAACAACAAAATAAAAACAAAAGCAGGTACTGTGTGAACCAAAAACACAACAATGTGGTATCACTGCAGTTTATGGAATGTATTTTTAAATCATTTTGAAAGCTTGGTTAACTGTTTTGCATGTAGTGGCTAATACAATGACCAGACATACATGGTTTTCAGTGGAAAATTATTATCCAATACAATCCAATCCAGCTTTATTTATAAAGGACATTAAGTTAAACAACCTGTACAGGACCAAAGTGCTGTACAGTAAATAGATAAAGAAAAATAGATAAAACAAAACAGTAACATAAAAAATAAGAACAAAATAAAACACATAATAAATAACAGATTTATATTAAAACAATATAAAAAAAAACATATAACTAACTAAAACAATCAAAAATACGAGAGCTAAAGCTAACATCTCATAAGGTGTCAAAGGTCAGGGTACAGAGATGGGTTTTCAGAAGTGATTTAAAAACAGACGGAGAAGAGGCCTGTCTGATCTCTAAAGGCAGATCGGTCCACAGTTTGGGAGCTGCTACAGCAAAAGCACGGTCTCCTGTAAGTTTACGCTTAGTCCTGGGTACATTCAGCTGATCGGCTGACCTGAGAAAGCGGGTGGGTGTATAAGGCAGTAGAAGCTCTGAGAGATAGGATGGGGCAAGGCCATGGAGGGCTTTAAAAGCAAACAAAAGAATTTTAAAATGAATCCTAAAAGAAATGGGCAGCCAGTGGAGTGAAGCTAAAATGGGGGAAACGTGCTCAAACTTCCGAGTGCCAGTTAAAAGACGAGCGGCAGCATTTTGCACCCTCTGGAGGTGAACGTTGGATGAAGCACTGACCCCTATATAAAGTGCATTACGGTAATCCAGCAGGGTGGTCACATAGGCATGGATTACGGTCTCAAAGTGTTGCTGAGAAAGAAGCCTGATTTTGCAACTGCCTTAATTTGACTGTCAAACTTGAGCTCAGCGTCCACGTTAACCCCCAGGTTCCTGACAACTTGCTTTTTATACTGGTCCAAGGAATCTAAGTACACATTGGGGGTCCCAGTAGGGTTACCAAAAACCATCACCTCAGTCTTCTTATCATTAAATTTTAAAAAGTTAAGAGCCATCCAGGCTTTAATGTCATCGAGACACTGAAGTAATCGCTGCACAGAGTATGTGTCTTTTTTCTTTAGAGGGACATAGATCTGACAGTCATCAGCATAAAAATGAAATGCGATGCCATGTTTTCTCAATATAAAACCAAGAGGGAGTAGATACAACGAGAAGAGGAGGGGACCTAGAACTGAGCCCTGTGGGACACCATACAGTAGAGGAGCGGAGTGACACATGGTCACCAAGACTGACACAAAAGGTTCGCTCTGCCAAATAGGACCTGAAACAGTCCAGTGCTGTGTCTCTGAGGCCCATCCACTGCGAGACAGTAAAACGGCATGATCCAGTGTATCAAACGCAGCTGTCAGATCTAATAACAGAAGAAGAACACAGTCGCCAGAGTCAGTAGCTAAGAATATGTCATTAAAAACTTTTAAAAGGGCTGATTCAGTGCTGTGTAAGGATTTTAAACCAGATTGGAAAACCTCTAAAACATTTTCCTTTTCCAAAAAGGATGTCAATTGACTGTGAACTATCTTTTCAATAATTTTAGAAAGAAAAGGCAGTTTGGAGATAGACCTATAATTTGCAAGAACCGTGGGGTCAAGAGCAGGTTTTTTTAATCAGCGGTCTGACTACTGCATGTTTAAAATCCACAGGGACCACACCTGACAACAAAGGTCCAACTGTGGGTAAAACCTGTTTAAAGAATTTAGGAGGGACAGCATCGTTTGGAGACCCAGCAGGCTTCAAACGGCCAACAATCTCCTCTAAATAGGATAAAGTCACTGGCTCAAACCTGTCAAACACGGCGGGGCAGCGAACAGAGACTGAGGGGTCAAGAGTAAAAGTAGAGATTTGAGCCCTAGTGAAGGAGACCTTCTCAAGAAAAAAGCGTAAAAATCTGTCTGAGGTGCATTAAGAACAAAGTCAATGGTCAAATAAAACATGAGGATTGTGACTATCTGGCAGAATTAAGTCAGAGAAGTGTTTTCTTTTGGCATCTTTTACAATTGATTGATAATGGTGCCAACAGTCCTTTAACATCTGAAATGACACCTGCAGTCTGTCGTTTTTCCACTTGTGCTCAGCTCGGCGACACGCGTCTGACAGCTCTGGTCGTGTCGTTCAGCCAGGGCTCCGATTTAGTTTTAGGGTGTCTGGTTTTTAATGGAGCCGCCGTGTCCAAAACAGTCTGGCAGGTGGAGTAGAAGCATGAGCTAAGCTCCTCAGTCTGGCTGTTGAAAAGCTCCGGGATTTTACAGATCTGGTTAAACACTGCTGTAAACCGCTCAGCAGTGGAGGAGTTAATAACGCGGCAAAAACGTTGAGAAGATGCTGCACTCACCAGCGCTCAGCCACGTCTCACACAGACAGAGAAAGTCCAGTCCTCGGGATGTGAAAATATCCTTCAGGATAAATGTTTTGGTTGTTAGGGACCTAGCATTAACCAGGCCGATCCTGACAGGAAGCGGCACATCCGTGTCGTTAGCCAACTTGGAAGCCCGACTCAGAGGCCGCAGGTTCCGCAGATTCACCCCACGCCAGCGGGGACGAGGAAACGGGAAATTAATCTATTTTGACCAAGAAGGCTAAAGCAACTGAACATTGTGCCAAATGGTGAGAATCGTACAAAACTATGTGCATATATGTACTGAAACAATTTGAAATCTGTGTGAAGCAATGAGAAGCAATGAGAAGCAATGAGAAATGATGATCTGCTGTGCAGAAGTGACATTATGATGTGGGGATTACACTTGTTTTGCAAATGTTAACCGTCATTTGCGAAATGCTTTAAAGCAATAAAAAACTGCAATATATTCATGCAGCTTTTTCATCAGTTCAGTAGGGAATGTAATTGTTACCCTGGAAAAAAATTGCCTGTGATTATACATCAACTGGTGGATTGTAGAATGTATGAAAAATGTTTTCAGCAGTTTTTTCTGTTTCCTCCTATTTCTATTATTTTTTTCTTTTTTTTCTTTTTAAAGATCCTCAGAGAATCCTCACTGGTTGTAAGCAGGGGCACCGTAAATGGGGGGAGGGGGGGCAGAGTTAGGATGATTCCAAAATCCCATGAGTGACAGGGGTCTTAAAAACATTCCAAACAGAATTAGATTGGTCAAGGTTGGGGGTCCAGTATGAAATACTTTCATGGGCCCCAAAATCTCCGACAGTGGTCCAGGTTATAGGCATGCAATTTTCAGTCTATCCAGGAAGATCTGCAGGGCCAGAATTGGGAAGTTTGGGAATTTCCCAGTGAGCCGGCCTATATGCTAGGGGTGATCAACCCACCGGTCGACCTCCATCACAGCAGATGATGAAGAGATAATGGTAACAGCCATCTGGAGCCCCTGCAAACAAACCCCCCCCGGACAGTGGCAAATTCCTGGGCTGCTGTTTGTTGCCAATCTGCCCCTGGCAGAGCTCTAACTTACCTCCTTGCTCAGGATGTGTCTTCACTGTCTTCACTGGAGCCAGTTCTGCTTTCTTCACTTCCGCATAAACGGTTGCTTCATTGTTTTTGACTAAAATTTAGAAGCAAAATAAAAGTATTTTTATATGGTAATATTGAGATTGCATAGACAGTGAAGTCCCACAAAAGCCTTCAAAAATTAGTTATTTGCAAACAAATGTAAACATTTGCAAACAAATGTTTACATGCATTACTAATACGAATATTTTAGTAATATGGTGACAGTTATTTAATTGCATTTACTAAACACATACAATTACAAAATAGTGAAAACCCCTGAAAAAGGGTCAAATTCACAGTATCAATTTATGATTTTTATAGGATTTTATTTAAATCTACTGATTCTGTGATGAGTTTGGACTGTCTCTATATTTTTTTCCAGTTGTCTAATTTAAATGCGAAATTTCAACATTTAAACTGCACTTACATTACATGGGAGACGTTTTGTCCAAAGTAATAGCAGAGAATTTTTTTTTGTGCTTCAGTCAAAACGATGGAATGATCTAAATGATGTTTTATTTTAATGTAATAATAAAAGAATCTTAGAACATTTTCAGACATGAGTGTGGAACCAGCTGAGATGTGTTTGACCCATTAGTGAGTCTGACAGGCAAAGCATAGAAGGGAAAGATATTTGTGTCGGAGAGACGATACTGGACTCACCTGGAGCTGAGGAGTTGTAGGGTGTGGAGAAAACCACACTGGAATAGCAGACCTCTTCAGACATGTCTCAGGTATCACTGGCTGACTCTCACATGAGCAGAGATGTTCAGAGACTAGGGACTTCTGTCAGAAAAATCCCAAATCAGTCTGAAAAGGGAAGTCTCACTAGAAACCTTATCCGTCTATCTCAGTCGCCAACTATCACACATCTGGTGCGACACTCACACTTTCAGTCTCATGCTCATGCAGGAAATTTTACGGCAAGTCTACAGTATATTATTCCATTACAAAACTGAAATTAGCTACGGCTTTGGCAAAAGCTTTTGAGAACTTCACAAGTTTTCTGCTCCAGTGCTTGTAGATCTTTTTGTCAGATGTTTTGATGGTTTACTGAAATATAATTACAAGCATTTCAAAGGCTTTTATTGACAAATACATTAAATTAAAGTCAATATTCGCAGTGTTGGCCCTTCTTTTTCCAAGACCTCTGCAATTCACCCTGGCATCCTGACGGGTGGCAGCCCATTCTTGCACAATCAACACTTAGTGTTTGTTAGAATTTCTGAGATTTTGTTTGTCCACCTGCCTCTTGAGGATTGACCACAAGTTGTCAATGGGATTAACGGCTGGGGAGTTTCCTGGCCATGGACCCAAAATGTTGATGTTTTGTTCCCCGAGCCACTTAGTTATCACTTTGCCTTATGGTACGATGCTCCATCATGCTGGAAAAGGCATTGTTCATCATCACTGTTCTTGGATGGTTGGGAGAAGTTGTTCTCGGAGGATGTTTTGGTACCATTCTATATTCATGACTGTGTTCTTAGGCAAATTTGTGAGTGATTCCACTCCCTTGGCTGAGAAGCAGCCCCACATGAATGGTCTCAGGATGCTTTACTGTTGGCATGACACAGGACTGATGGTAGCACTCACCTTTTCTACTCTTTTTTCCAAATGCCCTAAACAATCGGAAAGAGGATTCATCAGAGAAAATGGCTTTACCCCCGTCCTCAGCAGTCCAATCCCTGCACCTTTTGCAGAATATCAGTCTGTGCCTGATGTTTTTCTTGGAGAGAAGTGGCTTCTTTGCTGCTCTTCTTGACACCAGGCCATCCTCCAAAAGTCTTGGCCTCACTGTGCATGCAGATGCACTCACACCTGCCTGCTGCCATTCCTGAGTAAACTCTGCACTGGTGGTGCCCGAATCCCACAGCTGAATCAACTTTAGGAGACGGTCTTGGTGCATGCTAGACTTTCTTGGGTGCCCTGAAGCCTTCTTTACAACAATTGAAACTCTCTCCTTGAAGTTCTTCATAATCCGACTAATGATTGATTCAGTTGTAGTCTTCCCAGCAGCAATACCCTAACCTGTGAAGCCCTTTTTGTGCAAAGCAGTGATGACTGCACGTGTTTCCTTGCAGGTAACCATGGTTACCAGAGGAAGAACAATGATTTCAAGCACCACCCTCCTATTAAAGCATCCAGTCTGCTATTCTAACTCAGTCAGCATGACAGAGTGACCTCCAGCCTTGGCCTTGTTAACACAGGTGAGAATCACTGAAATGATGTCAGCAGGTACTTTGTGGCCGGGCTGAAATCTAATGGAAATGGGTTTTTGGGATTAAGTTCATTTTCATGGCAAAGAGGGACTTTGCAATTAATTGCAATTCATCTGATCACTCTTCATTCTGGAGTATATGCCAATTGCCATCATAAAAACTTAGAGCAGATTTTCTGAAAATTAATATTTGTATTATTCTGAAAACTTCTGGCCATGGCTGCACATCAAAAGTGTTATTTTGCAAAAGCTATCTTCTGTTTGCTTTTGTTTCTTATGTGAGGGTTCCTAGTATTGCAATTAATAGGTTGTTTGATTCATTCTAAATCCAGTCAGCCTGAAGGGGCAGTGTGTGGTTCAGTGGGTTAAGCCTGTGTCCTTTCTAATCAGAAGGTCACCAATTCAAACCCAGCCTCAGCACATCTGTGGGTCCTTGAGCAAGACCCTGAACCACTATGGGTGGCAGCCCTTTGTGGATAGTTTCCTCTATAAAGAGCAAGTTGAGGGAGGTGTAAAGACAATTTCCCCATGGGGATCAATAATATATCACTTATTATTATCTGCTCAGTGTACAACAGAACTTCCTTAAATGATGTTATAATGGAGGAAGTGTGTTTGTCGAAATGTTTTACTTAAAGAAAAATTGCCAAAGAGAGACAATAGTTTTTTTTATTGCTTTGGAGCATTTTTCAAATGACAATGAACAAGTGTGTCACAAAATTCAAATGAAAACTAACATTTATGTCACAAAATTTGTCAAAAAGAGAAAATACAGTTTTTGTCCGTTTGCTTTGGAACATTTCTCAAATGACCGTTAACATTTGTGCCACACCCCACTCAGGAGCTCGCCGGCTCATTAGGGAGAATGACCACATCTGCCTCTTGGCCTTTAAAAGATCCAGGCTACACCACACTATTTCTGATCCATGAGACCACATACTGTGCGGGGTTACTGGCTTTTTCGGGGTAACTTGGCATATTTAAGGTAGTCTGGGCAAAATGTAAGTGAACGAATATGAAGTCCATTTAAACTGTGGTACCTTAAATCCGACAAATTACCCCGATAAGCCAGTAACCCGCTTCGTAGTGCAGGCCACTGGCCTTGGTCTAGCCCGAACCTGGCCTCCCTGTCGTGTCCCTGTTTGTGCCCGTCCCTTCCCCCCACAACATAATGTCAGCTTTGCACAACAGAACATCATTGCTCGTTGCTTCACACAAATTTCCAAATGTTTTAGTGAATACATGCAAATGGTTTTGTAACATTGTCATCATTTGGTGCAATTTTCAGTTGCTGAAGTCTTGTTGGTCAAAATATATTATGTAGTTTCCTAGGTCTGTGAGTTGAGGAGTTGGATAGTTTATTCGCTATCGACGGATAAGCCTGTATAAAGGATAGACATGTTTAATGAGGAAACTAACTTCTCGTGCACTTCAAATGGATTACGATTAATTAATAGTCAGGGGTGTATTGTGGGACTCCTGGCAAAATGTCACCTTTCCATTTTACACATAATTTTACAGATTAAAGGGCCTTAGTCACCTCTGGTGCCTCTGCCCCCCCCTGATTCTTTCAGGGTATACAGTACATGTCTCTCTGGTGCTCCTGCCCCCCACCGACTCTGTCAGGGTATACATGCCCCTCTGATGCCCCTGTTAATAGTGTTTTCACAGTGCTAGTGAGTCATGGCTGCACATTTTTTTTTCTACAACTGTTTACCAAATGTTATGAGAAGACTGCCAGAGGTACCAGCAACTATACAGACAGGGGAAGACATCAGTATAACCATCAAACACCATCGGTGGCCAGGAGGGGCGATTAGAGACACACCACAATAGAGAAACACGATACTCAGCACTACACAAACCTGACAGACCTATTTACTGACATGACTATATATCACAGACATTATTTACAGAATTATTTATATTATATACAGTCCGGCACAATGCATGCCAGTCCGCAAGCAATTAAAGGTCTGCATCGTCACATTACCCCCCACCAAAGAGGGTCCCCGGCCACCCCCAAGTTCACTACAAAATCCGACAAATGCAGGGGGGGCTGGCAGTGCTGTTGTGGCCGGCCTGCCACAGTCCCCGTCTGTCACAGTCCCCGTCCTGTCACAGTCCCCGGGTCAGCTCTAGCTAGGGGGCGCTACAGTGCCAAGCGTCCCCTGTGTCGGACCTCATCCTTATGAGAAAACTATGTAGCCTTTGTTTTAAATACCATGTCCGTGATGAAAACTGCATCTCGATAAAAAATGTCTGTCAGAATTCAGCATGGTGATGACCCCTGGTTATATAGTTAGGACAACACTGTGAGAAGGCGGGCTAAACACTGCAAAAGAGTTTACGTTCTGTCAAGTGGGTTAGATGGCTGCCTGGGACAGTCTCTCATTTATTGCACTACACTGACATCTACTGGCCACTAGATATGATGCAGATGAAACTGAGCGAATATCTTCCGCTTCCAAAAAGATCAATGTAGCTTGAAGTCCCGTGAGTGAATGAGCAGAAACTGACAGCTGACAGCTCGTGCTCTCATCCCGTGCGTGTGTGTGTGTGTGTGTGTGTGTGTGTGTGTGTGTGTGGGGTGGGGGGGCGGGGCAGATGGTGAGATCTGCTGGCCATTTGAGAAAGTTACAAATATAAAAAAATATATATATTTTTTAATTCACATTATTGTTTCAGTTTAGTCTTTGGCAGCAAAGTGTTGAATATTTTTATGAGGAATATTTTTGCAGTTAATTGGCCATTGGCTTTGGATGAACTGAACTGTCAGTGCTGTTCCTCTAGCTTCCCACCCCCTTGTGGAATTGGAGTTCTGATGTTCAGGGACCCCCCGCCATGCCTGCATTCCCACCTGCCTTTCCTTCTTACTTATGCTGCCATATCCATATCTGCCAGAGCTTACATATTGCACTCACCTAACTGTTTGCACGGTCTCTAGTCTCCCCTACTTTGGCTAACTGCACATTTTATTTCCCCTACTCCTCCTACCCTATCCTCATGCCCTGTGATGGACTGGCATCCCGCCCAGGATGTACCCAATCCTTATGCCCTGTGATGGACTGGCATCCTGCCCAGGATGTACCCTAGATGTACCCTATCCTCATGCCCTGTGCTGCGTGGGATATGCTGCAGGCCCCAGGTGGATTGACCAATACATCAGAGACATTTCAGTAATAATAAATGTGAACTTGAAGTCCTTCAAAAAACTGGCTGCATCATGACTGCAAAGTATCCCAGCATGTATGGGGTTAATCCCAAACTCATCCGTCTGCTCCTCCTCTGTACGTCCCTCCCCTCCCCTCTGCTGCTAGTCTTTTCTTTCGTCTGCCCTCCCCCTCTTTGTTAAAGTATGAAAGGGGTGTCTCTCTCACTACCATTTGTACTCCAAGGGGCACAGAGCCTCAGAGCAGAAGCTGCCACAGAGAGCTTGTGACTGAAAGGACAGGAAGAGGAAAGTAACTAAACACAAGGAATCAAAAACCAATCAGAGAATCATCTACATCCCCCAAGAAGACAATTACAGCATGGAGGTCCCCAGCATCCGTGGACACATGGGAACTGAGAAGTACCAGATGCTGGAGCTCAACAAGCGTTTGGAGACATACCTGGGCAGGGTGAAGTTCCTTGAGGAGGAGAACAAGCTGCTACATGGGGAAGTTGAGGCTCTGAGGCAGAGTAAGAACCAGCGGGCCTGGAAAGGACAGCTGGAGGCCGAGCTGAGGAAGACCAGGGAGGAAGTGGAGGCAGCATTGAGGGAGAAGGACAGGGTGGAGCTCGAGGTAAGCAATCTTAATGAGGAGCTGCAGATGCTTGAGCTGCAGAGGAAGAAGGTGGCAGTTGCCCGGACTGAGACCAAGAAGACAGTAGATGAAAGTAAGAAACAGCTGGAGGAAGAACATAGAGCCCAGATCTGGCTACGGGAAAAGCTGGTTCAACTGGAGAAAGAGCTGCAATTCCACATGGAGGTCCACCAAGAGGATGTCTCACTCCTGCAAACCAAGCTAATCCACACCCAGTACGTCCCTCCTCATGCTTATGTTCAACCACAGCTACTTGGCCTTGAGGACATAAAGCAAGAGTTCTCCCAGAGGGCTTCCCGGGCATGGCAGGAGGCAGCGGGATCATTCCAGAACCAGGTTCAGCGTCTGGAAGACTCTCTGACCCAGGCCAAGTCTCGCATGGCCCAGGTGAGCCAGGAGAAGAAGGAGAGCTACTTGATGGCCCAGTGCCTAGCCAAGGAGCTGGAAGCAGCCCAGGCCAGGAAGGAGCTCCTGGAGAAGAACGTTTCTCAACAGAACGACAGGCAGCTCAAAGAGCTCCAGCACCTAGAGGTGAGAGAGCAGCAGCTTGTATTTATCAATTTTATAAAAAGTGATGTATCTTCCACAAACATTTGTCTGAGCATGGAGAGCGGGAAAGTAATCATGTGATCATTAATATGTTTTTTCTTTTATAAAAAAAGTAAAAAATCTTAATTGAGCATACAGTATTACTGTAGTGCTTTCTTCCTCTTCTAGAATGAGGATGATGCAATGGGAAACACAGAGGTCCCAAAAATGATATGTTTGGATACCCGCCAGACTGCACACTCTGGGGAAGTCTCAGCACTACAAATAACAAACTAATGAGGGGAAATATCTCATGCTTCCAGTTCAAGGGGCTGCGCTTAACACTCACAGTCCAATAACTGCTGATGCAGCTGGGTCTCCATCTGTGTGTGAGAACATAGTTAAGTCACTCTCTCAAAAAAGCAACAATTGTGCTCCTTATAACAGGTTTCTGAAATAAATAATAGCAGGATTTCCTGTCAGCTCATGCTGTTCTGTAGGCTCTAAGAGAGCCAACAAAGCTGCGGAAATCAGATGCCTCCAGTTTCTTTAAACGCTGTAACAATGAATATTTAGAAAATGCACAGTGCTGTTAGCTGAAGTATCACGCTGTATTTGTATTGTAGCAAAGACGCTCAAATGGGCAGTAATTCCCTCTTTGTGTGCTGCTCCTTTTCACACAATAAAACTCTCAGCAGAGCGTTTTCATTTCACATAATATTAGTAATGATGTTAAGCAATGCACTAACTTGTACTCCTGTATTTCCGTCATTCCACAAATAGTTAAGGTGGCGGTTTGGTGGGAGGGGCTACATTAGCGTACCACAATCCACTGGGATCCCCAAGTCCCACATTATGTCGCGGTCAGACATTGTGCAGCTTCTCAATGGCCGCTTGACGGTTGGAGCATTGTGCGCTTGCATGATGCCTGTTTAGTTCTAGCCTGTGGGATATGAGGAAGAGGGGTTCATTTTAATTGCTAATGTTCCTATTCAGTTCTTCTTGCAAGAGTTTCCTTTGAAAGGCAGGACATGAGCTGGACCATGTTAACACCCAGAGATTCGTGAAATTGGTTTTGCTCAATGAAGTATTAAATTACTCTGCAAGGAGCTGAAGGCTTGTCGGAGGAAAAGTAAAACGCGCAAACTTGCAGCTGGCAATAAAACATTAAACTTACATCGCTGTGACATCTTCATCATAGACGTCTGGATAACTATGTCTTCTTATTAGCTATCCTATAATTTCTAGCAAGTATCAAGCCTTCCTTCTTAATGTTTTTCAGGCGTACCTGGAGACCCTGGGAAGGGAGAAAGTGGAGCTTAGTGACCAGACTGCGGCGATTCTGAAGGACAGACACAACCTGCTGCAGATGAAGATGTCGCTGGGGCTGGAAGTGGCCACATACAGGTACCAGGCTGCCGCTCTTCTCCAAAGGAAACAAATTATACACATATAGAACTTAACAGTTACATTTTCGAATGTCCCCTAAAGGTTTTTGACATGGAAACCGTGAATTTCTCATCCTAGCAGAAGAAGTAGGATTCTAAGCAGAATTCCAGCTGGTGGATTATTTCTTTTGAAAAATCACTCTGGTGTCATGCAGGCTCACGTGTACCACGCAGAATACTCATCAATACTCTCTGCTCCACGAGAGTATTGATGAGGGTATCAGCTGTGCTGTAACAGCCCCAGTGGTTCGATGTGAAATTACAAAAAAATTGATTTTCTCTTAACGTATAAGTTTCTCCGAAAAAGAAAAAAAATCAATACGCGTAAAGGCTGGGACTGAAACGGAGTAATATTAAAAATGAACTCCATGGGATTTAAGTTAAATGATATTAAATAGATCCTGTACACAGAGAGTCGCAGTGAACTCTGCAGTCTGTCGTAGCCGTGTGCTAGGGGGGGCAGGGCTCAATTTGGGGTTGAACATTAGCGCCGCCTGACCAGCCATGAAGGCGCCGCCCCATCTGGCCGCACCGCCGTGCCTGCGTGGCCCCGTCTCTCAGATACGGCCCTGGGATAAAGGCGGCCATGACAGGCTGGGGACCCAGATGGCCTGACGACGAACAAAGCTTTCAGGCCATTATCATATTAATGCATCCCAGCCTGCTGTTCCAGTTCAACAAAGGGCCCAGCACCCCCTTCCCCACCCCCCACCCCCAGCCAAATCCAAACGTGGCTGAAAGGCCAGAACATTAAGGCAAAATTCAGACTCAGTATCTCATTTTAGAAACTTAGTCTTACAGTATTTCCTGCATGAACAGTCAAACTTTTGGCAAAAAGGGTCTAAGGAGAAGATCCATTCCCATATGAACATGCACAGCCAGGATATACTTAATTAAAATCAGTTACCATTCAGTTTTTAATGTCATAAGACATCTCTGGTGTGTGATGATGTAATAATGGCAGATTTTCCCAGGTAACACGGAACGTCCAAACCTTACGTTCCAACGACTGCTATTAACTTTCACCTGTGACTTTCTTGATTTGCAGAGCTCTACTAGACAGTGAGAATTTGAGGCCAAATGTGTCTCCCAAAATCTACTACCAGAGCACCGGCACTTTCCGTATGTATATTTTTATGCATGTTTCACAGAATCAGAGCATTTTACAGACTGTGTTGAATGACCATGACCATAATGTACGCACACTGATGCTGATACTGGTATATGAATCTGTCAGCTGCTTGCTATTGTCTCTGAGGATCAATGGATCCTGCTTTGTATGTAATTCTAACCATGGGGAAGGAATTCCTGATCAATATATATCCATTAGTGTTTGAGGTCAGATGACAAAGGGATGTATCATGAGATGAGTATTGGGAATTGATTGATTTTTTTTTCAGGGTACTGTTCACTATTTAGTAGACATATGTTCTTTTTTGTAAAGTAACAATTTCAAGTAAAACCACAGTTGCATTTACAAGAGAAGATGATTAACAAAGGAAGGCTACACTTGTATTGATATTCCTGTGTTTAATTGAAAAATCAGATACAGTAGATGCCAATTTTTTTCTGTCTGCGAACATTCGGCAAGATGCAGTAACCGCCTTTTTGTTCCCGTGTCCTTCGTAGGTGAAGTGCCAAAGCATCAGACTATTAAGCGTAGCCTTACCCCCAGCATGTCAGTAAAGCCTGCGAGGGGGTCTGAGGTGACGACACCAACAATGGCCCCAGCAAGCCTTCAGGCCCCAAAAGTCACCCCTAAAGAAAAATCCATCAGATCTGAAATGACAAATAATGAGCACGATGGATGGTGTGCGGAGTCACCCGGCTCTCCAGGTTGGTCGACACATTACTCAAAAGCAGATGTGATTGACAGCAGTTTAAGTGGAGATGTAGGAGCAGTTGAGGCTGATGAGGGGGAGGACCATGCCTATGCTCTCTCTGAGCAAATGGCACAAGAATTAAGAGCCACTGTAATTAGTCTAGACACATCTGTCACCGAGACGTCTGCCATCAGGGAAACGCACATTAAGGAAACGGAGGAGGAATGTCATTTACAGATTGCTGGGCTAGAAAAAAATCTGACGAAGCAGCCGCCCCTTGAAGAAGAAGAGTTAGACCAGGATTCAAAAAACACATTAAAAGGTTTGACAGTGACATCACAATTCACTGCTGACATCGAAGGGCTCCTTAGCGCTGAACAAACACTTGACGTTTCTGAAAAAGAAAATCCAGATGCTTTGAAGGCTGATCAACTGGAAGACAACTTTAGTGACAGACCTGTGGAAGAGATCTCAGAAATGACTGAAAAGCATCTTCCAGTTGAAGCTGTACGTGAACCATTGTTGGTGTGGGGTGAAAGACATGTAGGGTTAAAGGAGGTTAATCGAATGGAAAGCATGACATCAGGATCTAAGTCAGAACCAGAATCAGAAAGAGAATTAGAACTGGAAACCATCCCAAATGAGACAGAGTCCATTGGCTATGAGGCTTTAGCACGTAATAAGTCCAACTCTGCTGAGTTCATGCTGGATGAGAAAACTACAGAAGAATCACAGTCATCTACGACAGAAGTAAAGGTTATGCAGTTTTCGGAAGAGATTTCTTTGGACCATAGGCAGACAACAATAACATCTGATGAAGAAAGTAAGGACAATGTGGGGAGCATGGCAGACCAGCAAGTGGATGAACTGACTCTGGAAGAATGTATGAATGGTGAACCAAAGGGATACGTATGCAAATTAAAGGAAGAGAATACAGAAGATGTAGCAGAACAGATGTGTGATAATGATGAGACTGACAAGGAAAAAATAGATGAAGTGATGGAGTTAGGAGAAGAAAATCAGAGTTTCAACACCAGCACTTTGATTTCAGAGTGCCCACGAGTAGAGAAAACAAATGAACAGCAAGTGCATATATTCGCCAATGAGGAGCAACAAGAATTATCTGACAATGATGACTTTTCGAATGCCACCAATTCTTGGAGGACAGGGGGAGACCTTGACAGCACTGATAGCTATGTTTTGGAGAACACACTTGCCGACACCCGCCCCTTGATCCGATACAGGAGTGATGAGACTGACGTGAACACACAGGCATCACACTTAGGAGAGACTGACTCCAGCGGAGATGAAGAGCAAGAGGCAGGGGCAGGAATTTTTGAAAAGGAAAAAAGGTACAGCCTCGGTTCTAGAGGTGACCGGATGATAGAGGATCTCATTGAAGAGCCAGAATGGGAGGAGATACAAAAGAGCGAGAATGCAGGATGCTTTAACAATAGAGAGACTGATGCAAGTCAAGCAGAGGAAGATGATGGTCTCAGAATTGATAAAATCGAAGAGAAAGACATACATTTTGAAGGTGATGTTGGATGTTTGGAATCTGATGGAAAATCTGTACTGGAGATAGACAGGAAAGCACTGTTAAGTGAAGAGAATACAGAGCTAGGTCAAGCAGAACAGGACAGTGCTCTTGGAAATAAGGCATATGACCAGACAAACCTGAATGAGGACATGGGTGATCACGTTGATGGAATCGTAAGTACAGGTTCAACTGACACCAAAGCAGATTTAGAGAAAAATTGTGATGATAAAGCCACACCCCTAAGTAATATGGAGATAGACAGCAATGTTCTACAGCAAGAAGCAGATTCAATTGATATCAAAGCAAATTTAGAGAAAGAAAATGAAGATGAAATCATAACTCAAATTAACATAGAGGAGGACAGCAATTTTCTGCTACAAGAAGCAGATTCAGTTGATATCAAAGCAGATTTAGGGAAAGACCATGAAGATGACCCCACAACCCAAATTAATTTGGAGATGGACAACAATTTTCTGCAGCAAGAAGCAGATTCAGTTGATATCAAAGCAGATTTAGAGAAAGACAGTGAAGATGACCCCACAACCCAAATTAATTTGGAGGTGGACAACAATTTTCTGCAGCAAGAAGCAGATTCAGTTGATATCAAAGCAGATTTAGAGAAAGACAGTGAAGATGACCCCACAACCCAAATTAATTTGGAGGTGGACAACAATTTTCTGCAGCAAGAAGCAGATTCAGTTGATATCAAAGCAGATTTAGAGAAAGACAATGAAGATGACCCCACAACCCAAATTAATTTAGAGATAGACAACAATTTTCTGCAGCAAGAAGCAGATTCAGTTGATATCAAAGCAGATTTAGAGAAAGACAGTGAAGATGACCCCACAACCCAAATTAATTTGGAG